GGCTCCAGCAAGGATCCACCCTTGCGGGCAGAGCTTCTGCCACGCTCTCTTCGCATCTTGGGCGTCATACCAACGGCGCGTAGGTGTCCTTCATCGGCACCGTGTGCCGTGACGGTACACAGCCGTGGCGTATGTATCTCTCATCGACACCATGAACCGTACGGTACTAACCTTAGGTGCGGTACGCCCATCACAAGGTTGCCTTGCTTGGCGGCAACAGCTTCTGCTGTGCTGTCGCCTGAACTGAATCATGGCCAATGCTCGCATCGTGCACGACGCATGTACAAGCACAGTGTACAGGCTCATGGGCCCGTACACGAGGTACGCTGTGCTCGACACGTATCACAGCTACCATAAGTACTCCGTACACTTCAAGTGTGTCATGCACGACGAGTTCATTACGTGGAACTCTCGGCCGCTGCTCGACAACAGCCAGTGTTGATGCACGGAGCGTGCGTTGACTCACAGCGTATACGATCAGCGCGCATCGGGTCGTGGTATGGTGCATATCCTTTGCACATATACCAGTGTCTGTCACAGACACCATGTACCTTGATGGTACTCAACCGTGGTGGGGCGTATCTCACCACCATGCCACTGCGGCGTTAATGTCTGGCATTGACACCGAGTACGCACGGGTACCAAACCGTGGTGAGGCAAGCAGCCATCACCACGGTGTCATGCTCGGCGCGGCACCAGTTACGACTGCGTGCGTTGCCTCGACCACCACCTGGTCTGTTGTGTGTGCACTCGTGCACCACACTTGGGTTAAGGCTTCACGGCCCATTATACCCGACGCGTTGCGTACATGATGTACGGCAACCGCTTTGTCGGCGGGTGAGACGTCCCGTTCACCCTACTCGGCAGGTCGTTCACGACCAAGGGACCAGTGCGGTGATTGCACTAGGTCCGCGCTTCGCCTCGTGTGGGGTTGCTTGCAACCCCAACACTACTGTTTCGCTCAGCGATTCCGAGGCACCTTGCGCTAGTGGCTTTCTTCGCCACTATGTCTTGTTCGGCTAGTGCTACCGCAGCTCTAGCCCGGCTGTTCGCCTCCATCCTGCAGTCGATGTACATCGACGCCTGGTTCCGTAAGGAACTTGGGCTTACCTCAAGACCAGGGAGGAGAGGTATTTCCGAGCCTCTCCTACACTTACACTTGAGACCATTGAGTCTCCCGTGGCTTGTGATAGCCACTGGCAGCACAACGGCTACCTGCCTCGTGGAAAGTCAGGGCGGAAAGGTATTTCCGAGCCTCTTGCCCACTTAGCCTCGAGACTATTGAGTCTCCCGTGGCTTCTGGTAGCCACTGTCAGGCACGACAGCTCTCCGCCGTGCATTGCGTCTGTATGGGCGACCGCGTCGGCCGTGCCGACCGAAGGCATCCAGCCTTCGCGTCAGCAGCTTGGGTCTGCACGACTTGACGTCGAGCGAGTTGATCACGTCTGGCGAGGTCAAGACAACCTCGCGCCTCGAGCCAATGGCTCTGTGTGCGGAGCTACGCTACCCGCCTTTGGGATGGAACTCTGTTACCCACACCGGAAGCGCATACAGCGACTTCCTTATCAGTTATGGTCTGAGTGACCTTGCGTGGAGCTTTGTTACCCACGCTCGGAGCACCAAATGTCGGGCTCCTTAAGCAGCTTCACTGCTTGCGGATCTTGTTACCCGCATGTGGACCTATGATACGCACCTGGTGAATGCCCTTCGGCACCACCACTGTCGAAGCGCATACGGCGCGACGACCTTCGGTGTTGGGATCAGCTGACGTGGCAGACCCGCACACACACCGTACAGAGTTGGTGTCCACCGACCGAGTCAGAGGAGTCCGGGCCCTGGACTCCGAGTCGCTTGAAGCGACGTCGGCCTGAAAAATGTTCAGACCCGACTTGCGACGGCTGACATGACGTGGCACTTTTTTACCCACGTCGTGATGTCTCGTTGACAACATCAGAGGCACTCGAGACCTCGTGTGGCACTGTGTTACCCACGTTGGAAGCATGGTTAATGCCTTCCTCTTCCGTTATAGTCTGGGCGACTGCGTGTGGTACTGTGCTAGCCACACAGGAAGCAAGGTCATGCATTCCTCTTCAGTTAAGGTCTGGGCGACCATGTGGTTCTAAGTTACCCACCTGGCTAGCGCTTAAAGGCATAACTACTGTCGAAGCCCGTACGGCGCGACGACCATCGGCGCTGGACGCTGCTGGTGTAGCAGGTCCACACGCCAGGCAAAATACCCATGCCCGTAGCATTGCCGCAGCGGAGCATGGTCTTGCTGTACGCAGTGCTGGCAGCGCGTTGACAGCTCCGTGGCGCTTCTGCGTCCTGGCAGTCTGTATCAGAAGCCCCAGTCATGACGGAGGTGGGAACATGACTCACCAATGCTCCGCCATAGACCTGGACTGGTAGGCCCTTCTCAGCCTTGCCACACCAAAGTCCGAGCTGTGCCTTATGTTAAGCACAGCCATGTTGTTCATGGCGAGAGCTGCGAGCGACACCGATGTGCGTGGGTTCATCGAGCCCAAACGTTCCGGTCCGTTCAGGACCATTGGTACTTCCTTCACCGTACCAAAGGCTAGTCAGCCAAGGATCAGCCCACGACCGCCACTCTGACATAAAGTGCAGTCGGGTGTCGCTATGTCAAGCGACGTTCCGGCGGCGTATCAACGTTCCCGAACTCATCAAGCGGTCAAGGGGTACCGTACCCCCGTACACCGAGTGTACTACCAGCAGCCCATCACTACCCTTCACCGGTTTGAGAGAACAACGTCTCTCTGGGCTAAGTCCCGTGGTGCGCACAACCTGCACACCCATCACGAAGGCTTAGCGCTCTTCAGTAGGGCATACTACCTCTACTGGTGGCCGGGGAGCCTTCGCCCACCCTGGTCGTAGCCTGCGCCACCGGACCTGGGGTCCACGGGCTGTCTTCTCCCCGAGGACTGGCGAGGGACATGTAGTGCCCTTGTACGCCACATCCGTAGCAGCGGACCAAGCTCTCGGCTGAGCTTAAGTCCATGGGTTCGGGCTCGCTGTACGCACCGGAATCAACGGGCTGCGTGACAATAGGAGCAACAGCGTCATTGCTGCGATGATCCGCCTCCCGAGGAACGCCATCCTCATCATGGCGATGTTCCTCTTACCGAGGAGTACCAGCTTGCTTGTAGCTGTACTCTTCTTGGAGGGCGATTCGAATCGCCTCCTCCATAGTTGTCGCTTGCACCCAGAATAGCTGGGTGCGAGCAGGACCGAGCTTCAGGCCACTGATGTCTTGACGTCTTCAGGCAGAGGATTCCCTGCCAGAGATGCCACCAACGTGCGCATCTCTTGCGCGTACTGCTGCGGCTCACGTTTACCTTGCTTACACGCGAGAAAGCGTGAGCGCTGGCGGAACTCGTTGTTCGTCGGTTGGAACGCGGCTCGAAGCTGCTCACACAGCTGAGCCCAGGATGCAAAGCATCCAGGAGATGTCGTCTCCCTGGTGTATGCCCAGTGCTTGGCACGTTCACCAAGGTTGGACAGGGCAACCGCCAACCGAACTGGCTCGACCGAGAGGAGACCCGCCTTCATAACGATCTCCACCTCACGGACCCAGAAGTGAAGGTTCTCTCCTTCCTTCCCCTCAAACGCGGGGACCTTCAGCCATACCGGCTTAGGCCTGGCTGCCTGGGGAGTGGCCGTCGAGGCCTCCAGACTTTCGTGGACGTGAGCGATGAGACCACGCTCGTAGGTTTTAAACGCAGTCACGCGTTCTTGTTGCTCGGCAGGCGTCGCCGCCGCCAAGCTGCGAAGGTCATCTTGTCCAAAGATGCCTCCCATCTTCCGAACAGACTCGTACTGTGAGTCGTTCAAGCGAGGAAACTCGCTTCGGTCCATCGTGGCTCAAACTCTGAGCTCACAGAGGATTCAGGTAGTTCAATCTACCCGCGATGGTGTCGGATTGACTACGAGTGCTACCAAATGTGACGGGATCACACAGCACCTTGCATGGAGGAAGTGCTTAAGGGTATTAACTACCTAAATAAACGTTAGTCCACGTGTTCCCGGCCTCAAAGGGAACGGTTTGCTACTTAGAAGAGTAGATTTAAGACTGATGTACTTATAAGTAAGGCTCTATACAAACAAGAGATTACCTATAGTGGAGCTAAGTAGTCATGCTCCGAGAGCACCTGGTACCGTGTACCAGGTGTCCACAAGAGTGACGGGTCACTCTTTATGTAACCTGGGGCACACTGGATTGTACCCCGTTACACCCTGGACAACATACTACTATAATACCTTCGCACGGAAAATAAATCACCTTTCCAAAAAAAATTACAGCGCTCCGCCTCGTTTTTTTTTTTTTTCATGAGTATAAAGTTTGCGGAAGGCTGCTGATCCCTGTAAAAAAACGGGGGGTGCATTTCAGCAGCAAGCCCGTGAATCCGAAGTAGTAAAATACCAATTTTATTAAAATTGGTTAGAAGAATTGCATTTGGGATTCAAGATCTTTTCAACAGAATCCTGCTTACTAAAACAAGCTCACACGCTTACGTGAACCAGATCCAGCTCGTTATTTATTTACTTGTGGAGTAAACCACCAATAAGAGAGCATTTTAAGAGCACAGATTGACCGACAGAGAAATAGCAACTTGGGATCCCGTTTAGTATTGAGCGAAGCGCAGAGTTCGCTCTTTTTTTAAGGTCTACTGTATACCTCGGCATCCACGTGACGTGAAAACGGGGTCAGTTTCCTGCGATAATGTCGTACCGTTGCGCGACATCTGTCCTTCACTTTCGTGCTCAAATGGCATCAACCGTTGAGCGATCATATCAATTTGATATGAGATGATATTCCCGTCATTACTTTCTCCTCTGCACCTCAGCTCGAGTCTCAGCTGAAACTATGCAGCCGCAGCGGTTTACTTCGGAAGGAAATGGCAACATTGGGGGCACACGGAATGGCTTTCATGTTCAAAGTCTATAGTTCGCAAGTTCCTCGCCGTCGATGGTCGCAAGCCTCATTATGCGTCCTTCTTGGTCTCTTTCTCCCTACCTGTGATCGGTGTGGAGCCCTTTGCTTGCTGGTCCCGTTGGGCACTCGGAACCAGCTTACGCGCAATCATGTAGAACCAAGCGTACTGCAGTAGGAAGAAGGGCGAGCAGCCCAGCACGTACAGGGGCTGACACTGCTGGGTCACTCTTGGGATAATGTAGACGGTGTTAAACACGACACGGGACAAGAAGAAGGAGCTAGCGAACAGGGCTCCTGCCACCGTGCTGTCCGTGAGGCGGTACCAGTTGTAAAAGCCCGTGCTCACCTCGTTCGTCTGTATCCAGACGTACGGGTTGCCAAACGATGCGTCACACACTGTAGCTTCGTTCATAAAGAGCACCAAGCCCCAATACAGTCCGAAGACGTGATGGCCATAGTCCATGAGTCGCGATTGTCGGAGCGACAGTAGATTGCGTAGTCCGTCTGAATGAACCATAGCTGCTAGGTCCACGAGGAAGAACGAGAGCGAGACGGCCACGGAGACGGTCGTGTCTAGTCCATAGTAGAGCGTGATCGTCGAAGAGATCGAGGACACGATGCCGTGCGCCGCGTTCAGTGTGATGATGTTGTTGCGACGCCGAGTACCCGCGGGCACGACGTTTAGAATGAGCGTCCAAAGTACAGCCCAGCACGCAACAGCAGTCCCCAGGCTCGGTATGCGCGATGCGAGTCCCATCAAATCAGCTCAATTATTCCTGACTTAAAGAGGGGGGCTTGCTCAGAAGATCTGATACTGATAAACCGTCACAAAGACTCCGTCCGATCAATTCGGGGACCGATTGTCAATCGATTGAATCGGCGATTGATACAGTCGCAACGCGAATGTGATCCTTGCTGAGTACTTGTACAGCCTAATGCAACTTGCATTGGGAGGGGGAGTTCTGTAGACGAAGGTAATATCGGATACTGCGTAGTATACAAGTACTACGTATCAGTATACCAATTTAGAGGTAACAAACTATAATAGTAAGAAAAAAGTCGGAGACAACTCTACCGATACAATACGGATAATAATTACTTTACATGTACTTCAGAACTTCGATGTACCTGGAGCTATTAATAGCTTGCAACTTGCAACTTTGCTGCTGTGCAGTAACTAAATACCTCGTAGGTCCACTTGGACTTAGCGGTTAATGTACTTACGCCCACTTGCCGATGAGTGCCATCAAACCGGCACCCAGCCACAGAGAGATGTATAGCGTGAAGCGCTGTGCCGCCGGACGTGATAGGAATTGGCCGTTCGTGGTCATGTTGTATGTCAGCAGCTCTACCAGACCCGTGTACAGCAGAATGCCACCAGCGACACAGTCCAAGATTCCCTGAACCCACAGCGCAGTCGTCGATGAGTCTGAGTACGTGCTACGGATCCCGATCCCGATCACTTGGCCGATTGGAGTGGTGATAGCAAATGCGAAGTTAACCATAAAGAGTTTACTTTTACTCTCCAGCGAGCTCAAAGCAGACGTGCCAATAGCGACACCTTCGAAGAATTGGTGGAAACATAGAGCAGCTAGAAGTGTCTTGAAATCCGAGCCGGTAGTCACACCAAGGCCAAGACCGATGATGACGGAGTGGAAAATGACCCCGGCTTCGAAGATTAATGTGGCAATTTTGCGACGGATCTTAGAGTCGTGATCACTGTGGTCCAGAGACTTATCGTGGTAAAGATGATCAGCTGGTCGCGGAGTCATCGCGCCTTCCGGAGTAATGACGGCTTCCTGTACGAGCACCTCGCCGTGGGCGTGACCGTGACCATGGAGCATTGAGCCCTGAGCACCGAAGAATACTGTGCTCTCGCACTCGATGAGGTGCATGACCACAAGAGTGATCAGCACAAAGGCGAGACCCAGGCTCTCGTAGTTTTCCACGACAGCTCCGAGACATTCGTTGCTTAGCTTCTCAATCCCCTCGTTGACCATGTGGATGAGACCTGTGGCAATGACCACACCGTAGGCGAACGCGCTGATGGCTTCCATGATGATTGAGTTGGCCTTACATTGAGGAATCTTTTGCGAGATGATCGGGATCATAGTGCCGGCGGCCGATACAGCGAAAATGATGAAGATGGAGCCGATATGAAACCCCATGTCGTACTCATTGTCTTCGTCGAGAGTGACGCACCCGCAGCAGGTTTCTTCGGCCATTGCGCTGGAGTTTAGAGAGCGAACGTTATTGACGATGTTGGTAGTGTGGACGATGGAGAGCAAAAGCTGGAATGATGACCACGGCTTCTGTTGCGGCCCGTGGGTTCGTTTCCAGTGGCCCGGCATATAGAGAGATCCCTCGAGTGGTTCACAAACGCACCAAAGTTGGCGCCGCCGTCGGATAAACCACTGCAAATTTGCACATTCGTAGAGGGATCAACGTCACGATCAGGACAACAGAGACGATTTCCATTGGTTGCCCGGCGGGCCGCCGTCGGACAAATTCAGTTCCCACGTTCTTTTTCTCCGGAGTTTCATTCAAGCGTCGATCAAACGGTCCACTACGGCGGTTCATGAGGCAGGACCTGCTGCAGGCCGCTCTCAGGCTGAGCACGGTTGATTGGTGCGATGGTCATCAACATGCAAGGACTTCACTTGAGGCTTTGCTGAGCTCGACGTTGGTCGCGAAGCAGCGGTATCGTTGTTAATCTGCATCTCGTTATTAATCGGCAGTTGTGCGATTAACCAAAGCGGCAATACCGGTGCATATTTCGAAGTATTAAGTTACATGAACTCGTGGCTGCTTCGCGCTGCCTTGTTGCCCACAGCTGAGACTCAGCTGTGGGCAACTCAGCCTGAGTAACTCGGAAAAGTTCAGCTTGAACTCGGCTTTGCTTCAGCCTTGCCTCGTCGTTCCTCGCTGAAACGAGCTGAAGACTCTCCCAGTCACTGGCCAGTGGACTCTCCACCACAGTGGAGAGAGCCAACAGTTCAAGTGCATTCCGTTGAGATGCACGCCATCTGCAGCTGAAGTGGGTCGCAACGATGTGTTCTCTGAGCATTGCTTAGTAAGCCTGGTGGGAATGCTTTATGATAATGTTTTAATATAAGAGCAGTTTGCTCTTGCAAGTACGGGAGACCCTATTCCGAGAAACGTCTAGAAGAGCACCTGCTCTTAAAACGAGCTGTTTCGGTGCCTCGATTTGGCGCCAAAAACACAAACCCTGTTTTCAACAATTCTTCAGATCAAATGGATCGTACTGGATCGGACACGGAGCGTCGCCTGCGCGCCATGGAAGCAGCGTTTGCTCGTGAGCGGCAACAGCGCGATCTGTTAGAGAAGAAGTACGCGCGCTTGAAGCGGCGCTATGTGCGTCTAGAGCGCTCACACAACCGCCTTCTGATGGAGAATAACGAGGTGCGTCATCTCCGTCAAAAGTTCAGCATCCCCGAACTAATCTCTGTTATTTTGTTCGGTAGAAGAGCAATAGCGACGCGCAAACGCCCACATCACCGACCGATACATCTCAGAGTGTTGATTCCACTATGAACTCGCGGACAACATCAGTAAGTTTGTGCTCTTACTGTCGGAATCGATGAGACTAACCCTGCGATGATATGCTTAGCTTTCGGTTGTCGACCTTACTAGTCCACGTCGTCGCTTCAGCTCTGCAATGACATATAACAACGGGTCGCAAAGCAGCGTGTCGAGAGGCTTGCGAAGCTCTGGGCTGGATGACATCTGCGCTGAAAGCCCGACTTCGTCGCTGGGGTCTCCACAGGAATCGACAAGGGAGTCACGCAATAGTGAAGACCAAGAGGAGAAGGAGGACACATTAGAGAGCTGGCGATCAAACTCCGAGAGGACATACTCGTCGCCTGCGTCACGGCGACGTCTACACTTGGACTTCACTTTGCCCCCGAGCTTTACATACTCAAATCGAGCAGTGTCAACTCCATCACAACGGATACAGGACCGTAGACTGCACTTGGACCAATCCACCACCTCACACACCTCTCCACAACGAACGTCCACTGTAATAGCGCACAGTGGAGAGTCCCGAACACGAACACGTCCGCGTCTTGGCCACTCACCTGAACGAACGGCTGCACGTGCGTATGGATACGAGTTGGAACAGGAACTGGAGCCTCGCACGCATCGTCACGATCGATATCAATGGGCGTCGGATCCATCTCCCACGCCGTCTCCAGTGGCATCTGCAGCGACAATTCGATCTCCAGCATCTCGCCCTAGAGCAGAGAGCGATGAGGAGGCGTCGCTTGCTTTGGCTCGGTATCTGCAACAACAAGACGTAAGCAACAGCCCTGAACGTATCAAAAGAAACTCAGCTCACCTTTGTTTTGATTTGCAGAATATCGCCGCTTACGAAGAGTACGAAGCGCGTCTACTTCGCGAATCAGCTCAGCAAGAATCCAACCGGCTAGCTCATTCGTCCAACAACTTGTTACTCTCGAGTTTGGCGGGTCACCAGCGTAATATCGACCCCGACAACATGACGTACGATGAACTCTTGAGACTTGGAGAGGAAGTTGGTGACGTGAAGAAGGAAAGATGGCGACAGATGGCTGTTCAAGTGCTGTCGAGTCTCCCAACTTATCGATGGACACATGGCAACGGTGAAGACACGTACGTCTGTGGGTTATAAAAGACTCTTTTGAGTCGCTAAGCGTTGATGTTGCTTGCAGTTGTATCATCTGCCAGTACAATTTCGTGCCAAATGACCGAGCAATGACACTTCCGTGTGCTCACGTGTTTCACGAGGGTAAGTTGCGTGCGTGGGTTGTTGCTTGTTAAACGTGTCTTATCATCGCTTGTGTCTTGTGTCGTTATGCAGATTGTGTTGGTGGCTGGATTCGTGAAAATAATAGTTGTCCTCTATGCAAACGGGAGATCTCTCCAATGTAAGTAAAGGAGTTTTGTTCAAGGTGGAAGAAGGCAGTACATGAACTGTATATTGCACAATACAGAACACTACAAATTCGTCTTCAGTGTTGAAAGCGGAACCGATCAAACGATGCGATTGGAGCTGGCACTGTAGCCTCGTTCGAAGCATGGACGATGGTTGTATCTAAACCAACATCAAGTGTCTCCAACAACTCTTTAGTATCCGCGTCGTCCTCTGTTTTCGAACTTGCTGGTGGGTCTTCAGGATCGCTAATACTCTCAGCCTCGTCTGTCAGCTGCTCACGTTTTGAGTCAAGACTGGTACTCGGAATTTTTGTAGCTTTATCTGCTCTTCGGGTGCCGGTAAACGCTAGATGTCCAATTCGACTGGAAAGAGGCACACGCGGTTTCCCACTCCGATAGACTGGACCAACACTCCTTTGTTTCTTCAGTCTATGCTGCTGGAGCATCGAGCCAGCACGCATCATCCTTGAGAAAGCAGTTTCTTTCGTCGGTAATGAGGGACTGGGTGTCGCTTCCTGAGAATTGGGTGCTTGATTCTCCTTCGAAACTCCGATATCTCGCGTAGTCGGCAGCACTCGAACCTTGTCTTTCAGCGGATCGAACGAGATGTTCCGTACCACATCAACTCCACGAGGCTCTTGGCTTTGAAACGTGGACGACGAGTCCAGCGTACGTGGCGCGCTCTTCTTTACGTTCTCGTCCGGTGGCGACATCTCCTTGGGTTTCAAACCGAAGAATCGACTTCTCACTAATGGACTCTCCGTCGCAGGTTTCGCACTGGAATCGGATGCTGTGCTTTGCTTACTTCTCTCCTCGGGTGACGCAGCATTCGACGCCCACTTGTCCATGAATGACGCTGGCAATTTTCTTTTCGAAGACGTTGGCTTCGTTCGAGGAGCATTGAACACTGCAGCTGCAGCAGATTCTGACGCATGGAAGAAGGAAGTGACCTCTTTTTTCGTCTTCCGAGTGGCTGTTAGTTGACGTGTCGGGTGCATCGATATAACGACACTTGGTTGGATAGAGCGGGACACAGGTGCTTTGACTGGGAACGGCGTCATAGTAATAGGGTCCATATCTCCTTCTGCAATTGCCTTTGCAACGTCACTGGACAGCATAGGTCCTACAAAGTCCATTGCAGGGTCAGTTTTTAGAAGGTTTGCTGGAACTGGTGTGAGTGGAACCAGTTCCTGTCAAAAATACGATCGTTAGCTGGATTGTTTCGTTGAGATATACTTCAGTATCAAATAAACAAACCTTTTTCGTGGGGCAATACACACGCTGGTGTCGGAACGTCAGGACCGCCTTCCGAAAGTCTTCTTCATAGGTCGCAGGGATTCGCACTTTTCCTTCAAGACGCAATGCTCGAACGATCTAAAGCAGCCAAGTCAGAACCTAGAAATTAACGCCAATAATGTGCTGGCAATACCTTCGCAAATGAGCCGTGTTGTTTCATCGCAGTATAAGCTTTTTTCAGCCCAAAGCCTGGAATACTTGGCAAGTAATCACACCCTGAAAAAATACACATTTCGAGGAACTATAGTCTCGTAGTTAGATTCCTCCATAAAGCAATGCCAGAGCAGCACTGCTGTACCATCTGCTCTGTGAACATGTGAAAACTCATCCCCTTGTTCTTCTTGAGGTTGGCAGTCTGGATCTCCTGAGCAATATTGTCGCGGTCCATTTTAAAGAGCACAGTCTGGCAACCGAAAGGAAGACAGTCCGAGTCTTCGGTGATCACACCATCTGCGAGTCCGTTCTTCACCAGATAGGCCAGTTGAGCGTCTGCTTCGTACGGAGCCACCACATAGGCCACGTTCTGTGCTTTCAGGTGCTACATTGAGGTGATTACTATCAGTATTAAAATTAACGATATAATAGCAATAAAAAAAACCACCTGGATGACTCGATGAGCCATATAAGGAGACACGTCAGCAGCTCGGACAAAGCACTTGCGAGCCTCACCGAAGCGCTTGTTGTTGTAGTGCTGGACACCGAGTTCTCGGTTCTTCTGTCTCGACTTGCGTCGTTCTTCCTCCGTGCCTTTCTTCATAGGGAGAGGACCTCCGTCGAACACAACGTAAGGAGTCACACCGTTGTGGAGCAACGCAGTGATCCGATCCATAAAATACGTTACATATCTGCACAACAGTGAAAAGTGTTCAATAAGACGCCACGAGAACTGTTGACGTGCAGTTTCTACCACGTACTTGTCAGTCGCCTGGCCGAGACAAATCTCTTGACTGCACGAGTAGATGGCGCGATGGAGCCTGGGTGGTAGGAAGTGCGCAAAATTAAATTAGAGCTTGAGGAGTTGAATGGGTTAAAATGCCACGAGGCATTTGATTCGCGGTGTACCAGCAGTAGCCGTCAATGGCGAGCGTTTGGCCCCTGTACGCCTCGATGTTCTTGGTCTCGGTGATGCTCTTTAGTACCGGCAGGAGGCCTGAAATCCCCATACCAGCTCCGTCCTGTACCTCCTCTTCCTTGCTGGACGGGCAACTGGAAATATGGCGCGAAAATGTTTTCAAAAGCAAATACCGGTAGCCAGCGTTATTTATGTCAAAAATCGAATTTAACGTTGGCTTAAAAAATAAGCTTTTCGCTGGTCGACCTCAACTTATGAAGATCGCCAACGACGTTCCACCGTTCATCGGCACCAACGCGGCGCTGGCTGCGTGTTTGTACCTCGTGGACGTCGGACTTAACTCCTCCATTGAATACGGAGATCTGCCGGGCCAAGACGCATCGGACAATAGCAGCGACTCAATTGTCTCTTTGTTAGTTAGCAGAGATTCTTGTAGTGGATGTCGAATCATGGTTGGTATTAAAACTGTGCTGGGATGGCTGCAACAGCGTACAGGTGTTACTGCAGATAGCAGCTCTCGTCAATCTGCTCTTGTTGCTGGGCGGCACCTTTTTGTTCCGCAGCGGGCTTTTCGGCATGCTGTACTCCCATTTCCGTCTTGTGCTGCTCGTACATCTGCTGTACATCTGCCTGACCATTATCCTAGGCATTGTTCGAATGGTAAGCAACCTCAAGCGCTTGATGTGTACTAAGCAGCTAAACACGAATACTACAGAACTTACTATCGCCGGGGAATGAGCATGTCGATATCTGGGACGCTCGAGGCTATGCAGCGTTTTCGGGCATTCACAAAATTGGTAGGTAGGGATATCATTGCGCGATCAAGTCTAGGTGGTGTACTGATTTGGAGTCCACTACAGGGGCTCTGTGCTACTACGCCTGCAGTATCGTTGCGGTCGAGAAACTCCGAAAGCACAAGTACTATAGTCCCGAATATTGGATGCGAAGATGAAAGAAAACAACAAAAGTGAAAAAGGAAAAGTAGATTAACCATGTAAAATACAGGCTCAGTGCGGACTCTGCAGTTTTGCTTGACTCCACTCCATTATTGGTTCATTCTCGCGCGCAGTCAAGATTTCGTAACCTGTTTCCGTCACGAGGAATGTGTGTTCGAATTGGGCCGAGCGCAACCCATCTCTTGTCACTGAAGTCCATTCGTCAGGCCATGTCTGATCGCGCCACGTGCCGGCATTGATCATTGGCTCAATAGTGAAGACCATCCCAGGTTTCATGATGCCAACGGCTTTGTTCTTCGCATAGTGAGGAATGTCGGGGATACCGTGCATGTGCGTACCTACACCATGGCCACAGTACGACTTCACAACGGAGAATCCTTCGGCGTTGGCGACTGCTGAGATATGCTTACCCAACTCACGAAACATCGTGCCAGAACGAATATTCTTGGCAGCCGCAGCTAGACTCTCAAATGTCGTCTTCACCAGACGCACTCCTTCTTCGTCCACGTTGCCCACCAGGAATGTCTCGTTCAAGTCCCCATGGTATCCGTCCTTGAACACGGTTACATCGAGATTGACAATGTCTCCGTCTTCGAAAGGACGGGAGTCTGGGATGCCGTGGCAAATGACTTCGTTCACTGAGATGCAGACAGACTTAGGGAAGTGGTAATAGTTGAGTGGAGATGGATAGCAGCCTCGTTCCATGCAGGCTTGGTGCACGATCTTGTCGATCTCGTCTCCGGTGACACCAGGACGCAGCGCCTTGCCGGCGATGTCCAGCACCTCACGGCCGAGACGACAGGCCTCGCGGATACCTTCGATCTGCGCGGGAGTGTACACTGGGATGATATTGTTCTCACGTCTGGCGCGCTGTTCGGCCTCGGGGATGCCCGTCTCAGCGTAGTCGGGCTGGTTGACGGTCTCGGGCACCTTGACGGTCTCTGAGATCTTGCCTGGTCGCAGCTTGCCTGTGAACTCGTAGCCGTCAAAGGGCGATGCGTTCTCAGCACGGGTCTGTTCAGCGGCTATGACCTGTGTGAACATCTTGTGCAGCGCCTTGTGCGAGGACCAGTAGCCCTTAAAGCACTCCTGTGAGCAAAAGGTGCTCATGGCTGGAGGAATGCCCAGCTTCTTGCACGTCGGGCAAATGAGTGAGCCGCTCTTGCCACACGTTGGGGTCACACACGGAGCTCCTCCTGTCATCGTGTCCAACGCTGCTCCAATTTGTGAATGCATTCGGCTGGCGCACAGCCACGAAGGGATCGAGGGATCTGTGACGTGTGCGAATGGAGTTTTCATACTGCAACATGACGTGTAGCCATCTATTCCATTAAATCCGAAGTAGGGCTGGGGCGCGAAATTTTCGTACTTAAGTTAACTGCCCGTTCAACTTGCATGAGTGCGCAACGGCTCCATAACGCCTTCGAAAAAATGACGCTTCAATTTTGGAAACAATTTTTTATTCTCGGCTTCAATTTGAAAAGACTTTGCTCAGATTCTTATTTTCAAGGGTGTACCCTTTTGTTTTGGAGGCTCTTCTGGCCGATTTACTCACCAATTTGACAACCAGTCTACTCAGGGCTTCTATACCGCTGTCACTATATGGCAGACATTTATAGGGAATACTTGTATTACAAGGGGGGGGTCACTTCGAGGAATCCTATTGCGGTGTTTAGCACCAAAATACATTTTGCATACGAAATCTGATTACAACATCGCAATTCTCCAATAGCTTTTTTTTATTTTACGAAAGATAATCGGCTCTAGTCAACAAGAGCAACTCACTTTTCAACCTGCTGCAGACGGTGGTGCAAGTTGAAAGCGCGCTAGCATGCGTCACTGAGCACTCAAACGAACACCGATTGCCTTTCAACATTCGTGTCTGAGAAATTCAGATTCGCTATTTAGTACTTCTTATCAGAAGGACATAATTTTGGGTAACTAAAAATTCAAAGGCTCCATCAATAACATGACAACAACAATGATCGTACAAAAGGCGTCATGAACTCACAAAGCATTCAAAATCGTAAATGACGACTACTACAAAGCATTCATTGGACTGGTATCGCACGGAGCGGTAAATGTCTCGACACATCGGACGAGTGTAATGGATGACGTTCTTCTGACTTGGAAAGGATGAACCTCATTCCGAGTTTACGCGCGCAGGTGGCGGTAGGTGCTGGGCTTCGTGAACGTCTGAGTAGCCATCTGAGAAGCTTGGTTAGCTGGCTTCTCTGGGGCTAACGAAGCGATGGCACTCGTTCCCTTCGAGTAGCTGTCCGTGTTGGTGCCCTTCTTCACACTTGAGCCGGCACCAGTTTTCAAACTAGCACCAGCGTTGAGACCGGCACCAGCACTGAGTCCGGCACCAGCATTGAGACCAGCACCAACCTTGAGACCGGCACGAGCATTGAGGCCGGCGCCAGCCTTGAGACCGGCACCAGCATTGAGTCCAGCACCAGCGCTGAGTCCGGCGTTCGCTTTCAATCCTGCATTGGCGTTAAGACCCGCACCGGCGTTGAGGCCAGCACCAACGTTGAGTCCGGCACCAGCATTGAGACCAGCACCAGCCTTGAGGCCGGCGCCAGCCTTGAGACCGGCACCAGCATTGAGTCCAGCACCAGCGCTGAGTCCGGCGTTCGCTTTCAATCCTGCATTGGCGTTAAGACCCGCACCGGCGTAGAGGCCAGCACCAACGTTGAGACCGGCACCAGCATTGAGACCAGAACCAACGTTGAGACCTGCACCAGCATTGAGGCCGGCGCCAGCCTTGAGACCGGCACCAGCATTGAGTCCAGCACCAGCGCTGAGTCCGGCGTTCGCTTTCAATCCTGCATTGGCGTTAAGACCCGCACCGGCGTTGAGGCCAGCACCAACGTTGAGACCGGCACCAGCATTGAGACCAGCACCAGCATTGAGGCCGGCACCAGCGTTGAGTCCGGCACCAGCGTTGAGTCCGGCACCAGCGTTGAGTCCGGCACCAGCGCTGAGTCCGGCGTTCGCTTTCAATCCTGCATTGGCGTTAAGACCCGCACCAGCGTTGAGGCCAGCACCAACGTTGAGACCGGCACCAGCATTGAGGCCGGCGCCGGCGTTGGCATTGCCGTAACCAAGTGCACCGAGACCAGCATTTGCGTTGAGATCCACGCCCGTAGCGCCGTAGCCACCAGCACCAGCCTTGAGACCGCCAAGTGCCATTAGAAAAGACAGTCCGCCATATCCACTTATCCCCGCGGACGCGCCTTCATATCCGTCTGTGCCGACACTAGTACCTCCGTAGCCACCGTCAGTGTTCTGGCTCTTCGGCAATAGCCAGCCAAACGTCTCCGCCGCCTCCGTCGTCGCATCCACTGTACCACCAGAGAACGCCACAGCTGCCGCACACAATGCATAGATCGTCTTGCTGATCATCATCTTGGTCGCAATTGGAGTAGCTTGCTTGAGCTGGAGTGACTTGTTGGAGGCAGTCGAAATTGAAGAGTGAGCTCTAAGGCAGTCCACTGCGAGCAGCCCCAGCGCTCAGACTAGATGGCTGGTAACTCGAACGGAATAATCTGTCCTGCCCGCACGACGTGTAGTCTAAAGCAGAGGGAATAGCCACTACCATTCCTATGCCACATGATTATCAGGTATTTGTAAGCTACATCGATCTATTTATCAGGTTCAGTGCTAGTATAATTAAAGTGTCATTCTCGGATAAGATCTGCGCAAACACGCAGGCAGAGAGACGCATCACAAAAACAGCGAGACCGGATGGTGGCAAAACGGTGAAGCGGTATGGAATTAAAAGGGACATTACCGATGACGAGAATTCCCGCGGGAATTACAGTTTTGATGCATCGAGCATGTTGTTTGGCTGTAGCAAACTACGGGTCAAATATGAATAACTAACGGGCGGGTGGATCGAGATCCACGCCGGCAAGGTCATAAAATGCTGTTATTTTAGTGGTAAGTGAATCCCATGCTCCTACTTTTAATCACCAGCGCAGGTTCGACCTTTCAATAGTTGGAGCGAGCGTGACGTTCATCATCTAACTTTTTGTCTTCTAGCCGTCTTAACAGTCAGAAATCCAAGGTCATCATTATCCATAGATAGCTATTCTAGAGAGCACTATAAGCTCTCTCTAGAAGCAGAAAGCATTCCATGCATTTTACCAGGTCAGATCAACACACATGGCGCATTTCCTTTTCTAAACTCTTCAACATCACGCTCTCAGTGAGTCACCGATGGAGTAATCCTTATGTCGGTTTGACGATTCCCATTACTCCAACAGGTACGGTGTGGCTTTTTGGCTTTTTGGTAAGTTTCGTACGCCTTTTTTATTATTATGGAATGCTACACAAACAATTTATCCGAAACTGGTAAATGAGGGCAGCTTTAATAGGGCTGAAGCTGGGGGCTGGGATATCATCGGGTTTTTAAAAGCGTCACCGAATACGCTATGCCGAACCATTCCGTTCATGTGATACCATATATATGGTATGTAGAATTTTTTTATTTTTTAAGGACCTAGAAGCCTTTACTTCGTATAATTACGGAACAAACATAACAGCTTCAAGTGCTGAAGATTTAAAAATACACACTACTTAAGATCAGATGCGCTATCGCGTGGTCCCTCCACCGTTCGAGCGGCTTCGTTTTCCTACGACGGACTTCTTAACGTTCATCAAGTACTGCTTGAGCCCTTTATCACAATCCGCGTTCACATCGGACGGTGTTAGCTCATCTTCATCAGGCCCAAGTCACTCATATCTAAGGTCTCATAACTACTTGCAGCAAGGGCCGGTGTTTGCTGATGCAAATTTGGTCTCAGACGAAACGGTGTATTGCGCTCTTTGTCGAGGAATTTCCATAATCCAGTACTAGTGCACTATTCTTTAGGATATGTTACTATCAAAATATACTGTTTCCAGTACATTTTAACCCCTTAGTTCCCGGCCTCAAATATGAGGGTATATTTTGACCTCGTCCCATATACAGATATAAAGGAATTTGTATGGGGTTTCAATTAAGTCCGGATATCTTGGCGCGGGATCGGGGTGGTAACAACGACTTGCCAGTGTGTATAGTACGGATTCTCCAACATAAAGGAGGGTTTATGTAGTACATTGAGACGATCATATACAACTATGCTGTATAAATAAACATAAGATATGTACTGTTTATTGATTAGCCTATCTTTGTGCTGTTGCATACGTCCAGCAGCGGTGAGTTCATTTATTATAGCCAATAACAAGAAAGATCAAGTGCCGTATCAATTGATTGCTCCTTGCATAGACATGTACGACCAGACGGCGCAACCACTACGCCTCCTCCTCCACCGCTTCATCATCTTCTTCGCTCGACTCCCCAGCACCAGCACCAGCACTTGCTCCGCTCTCGCCTACCTGCTGTCTGCGTCTCCGCTTCTTGCCTGGACGCTCCGCTGGCGCTCGGTCGCGTATCTTGTGGTCGCGTAGCAAGCGGCTCGGGATGTCATTCCCGTTCTTCCAGTCGAGGTGCCATATCTGAAAGCACGTGCGCTCCCTTTCCTCCCTAACAACGTTGCAGAGATACTTCCTGCGGCACAACCTACAGTCAGCGCTATCACCGTGTTAGTATCAAGCATGAACAGCATGTACGTACCTCTTTGGCCCTGCAGAGCATTCTGGACAGTAATACTTCGTATACTTCCGCGGCACCACCTTGTAGATAGCACACACTTTGCAGGTTCTGTGGCGACGCTTCTTTCCGGTTTCAGTGTCGGCCTTGTCTGGGTTCTCCGCCAGCTCGTGGCCATCATCAATGCGGTCTGAGCCACGTCGCTGCTCCTCCCGTCTTGGCGACGCTCCTCGTGCAGGTGAAGCGGCTGTACGCTCCTCAGCGGAGGTGGATTTCTAGAATAGGAAACATAACCAACATAACACATATTAGTAAATGCATTTATGTTGCCAAACCCATCATAGCAACTTACCTCAATCTCAGCGAAAGAGTTTTCATCAACAGCAAGTAGTTGTTCCATGAGTGTCTCGAAGAATGCGGAATGCTTCGGGGATTTGTGCCCATTGGCACGCTGGTTGTGTCGATACACAATAAAGGCGTTCACCAACGCCATGTCCAGCAATCCGAGAAACAAGGTCTTGTAGTACTTTCGTGATTTGTACGAAAGCTGCACGCTGTAGCGTTGCATCCGGAGCTGGTCGTGCACATCAACACCTCCCATGTATCGGTGATAGTCACGAACCAGCTCCGGTGCCGGTAGCTCTTTCATCTGGCCTTTGATACGCCGCACTACAATAAAAAAGCACAATAGTGAGCAATGATACATATATATAAACACACAGGCTTACTTACTGACACTGACTGTTTCTCTGCTGCCACCACTGCTCAGCATGTGGACGGGATTGCGGTCCATCCACATTGCTGCGGTTATCTGCGGAAAAAGCTTATTTTCAGCCAGCTTGATTGTCCCCTGTGGTGGTACTAGCTCTCTCACACCATTCACGGTTCTGTAAGACTTGTCAGTCTTCACATCCTTCGCGTACCCTGCCATACGCGTCTGGATCGTACCCGTAATGTACATCCGTCGCTGCAACAGCTCCAACGCCAGCTTCACCGACGTGTAAAACCGGTCTGTGATTACCAAACGCCACGGGGAGGTCGGTGATGGCGGGCACAGCGCGTTCATGTTCCTTAGTACGGCAGCCTCGCCGCAATTATTATCAGCAGGAATCGGAGTCCGGAGATTACTCTTAGCACCACAGTACACCTCGAATCTGAACAGTCGCACAAACGCACACGATATTAGTAAAAGTAATAAATATGTTGGATTAGGAAATTCTCCACAATGTGGATGTTTGCCCGTCCAACATAAGCACTTAGACCAAAAAAAAAGTGGCAAGCATTAGCTTGCCACCTTGAACGCACCTCATGCAATAAGCTGTATCTGCACACGCTGCCACGAACACCTTGGTCCCCCACTTGTGCGGTTTGTCCTTGTTGAACTGTCTGGTAGGATTGTAGCGGGATCTTGAAGGCAGCGTAGCTTCGTCAAAGCTAATGACAGGAGGAATCTTGTAGCCGCGCGCAAATGTACGCTGTAAAACCTCGATAACCGGCCGAATCTTCCATACACGATCCGTGCTAGCTTGAGGCGACTTGTTGTTGGAGAAGTGCAAGTATCCCATTATGTGGAAGAACCGGTTGCGGGACATGTACTTGCCGAAGCGTGGCGTTGGCAACGCACCAGCCGGTGTCAACTCCCAGTGAGCAGCAATCCCCTTTCGCACTGGAGACAGCATCCTTGCAATGAGAAGCGCGATGACGCGCAAAACCTCCCACGGTTCTATCGGCTTCACACGTGCTAGTCGCCGACGAATATCTGCGAGGTTCTCTACTTCTGCACCACCACGACGCTGCTTCGCTTGAATCGCCTGCGCACGACCCGGTATCGACTGCGTGTGGTAGCGATTGCTCTCGACGGCAATCTGTCTCCACAATTTTGGCGGTAGGTAGTAGAAGAACAGCGCCAGTGGGTCTTCAGCCACTCCAAGGACGCTCTCAGATGGTCCATAAGGCCCGTCGTAAAGGTCTTCATACGTAGGATTGTCTCCAAATTTGGACTGGTCTACAAATAGCACATCAAAGTGAGTTAGATAATGTTAACATTATGTTGGACAACGACCGAATAATAGTTGCGTATGTTGGAAAGCGTTCCACATAATTTACCTACTCCCAGCCAGAATGTTTCATCTCCGCCAAACCGCCGCATCATCGCCACCGATTGCAGAACTGTCCGGTAGCTCATTCCAACGCAATCGGCTAATCCTCATCAGAGAGTTCTCCAAGCTCCCAATCTCTTCCCATCATGTCCGCGTCTCTCTCGAATCAGACAGATCCTCTCTGATCGAGCCGTGCATCACTGCACACCGCCTGATGTAGATCACGTCATACCAGCGACGGGAAGCGGGCAGTGACCACACGTGTTGGTGCATTATGTGCTCGTTGACTCCGTCGGATGCTGAGACCGCGCTCTTCGGGACTTGGACGGGCTGTGTCTCGAGGGGGAGCCAACGCTGACTTCCCGCTAACGATGAGCCGTAGCACTACCTTGTCATCTCCCTGTCCAATTCCTTTGAAGTACCTATCCGCC